AATCTTTTCATTAGCACACTATATATATACCATAGCTCGATCTATCATCATTGTGCCAACAAAACGTAGGATTTTTCCTTTGTATTGCTGGCTACTACCTGGAACAAAGCTCTTAAAGAAGAACAGCCCACCCATTTCACTCATTTGAAGGTTGTTATTTATACTTTTTCGATAGCCAGATCAAATAAAGGAGTAGGGGATGGAAGAAGACGACCTGATTTTGTTTTGAATGGATTGCTTTAAGTTGGTGTTACCATGATGAGAAGGAGATCGAGAGTGAGAGAGGGTGGCGGCCGGCAGAAAAGATGCGCTCTAGAGTTGCGGCTGAAAAGAAACAATGAGCAAGGCTGAGAAGAAGAAGTTTTTCCGATCTACGGAGTTCGGATGCATAATACGAAGTACTCCACTATGTATTTTGTTTCCATTCTCCCTTAAATGAATGCAAGGGTCAACATTTCACATTTGTCGAGACACACCTCTGATCATTAATATATATAATCTGTCCACCTAAATTATGTATTTACTTATTTATAACGAATTTTAATTAAATATTATGAATTTTAATATTATTTTGGTAAAAAAACTAGTTAGGTCATAGATTGGGAAAGTGAATAAGTTTTAGTCACACCTAGGATAATTATCTCATACTTTAAAGACACTTCAAAATTTTAGATAAATGCAAGAGTTTGTGAAAGGACACATTCCATGATTGTTTATCTTAACAAAAAGGTTTCAACGGTATGAGGATAAAAATTGAAAAATTAAGATTGGAATGGAAATATAGTGTTTATTCAAATAAAGGAAAAATTTCTGAAATAGAAGTAAAAATATTATGGAATTTCAAATGGAATTACTATTTTTATTTCTTAAATAGGATTAATTACTTTCAAACTTGAAAAGTATTGTCATGTTTAAAGTTTGATATTGTCAAAAATCACGATAATTGCTCCGATTTATTTAGGTAATAAAAACATAGTATGGTAGTCATATTATAGAATTCAATTTTTTTTACTCCTATTAGGCCAATTTCTTTTAAATACAATCTAAATATAATTCAAAGCTTTTAGCCGGATGTTTCATGTACTGCTTTAAAATAATCAATATTACGAGGAGGTGGTACGATTATTAAGAAAAATGAATTTATGTGGTTGATATTAAATTGATAAATTAAGAATTAGTAAGAATAATTTAGAATCACACAAACGTTTTGCGAATTTGGTATGAGACAATCTTAGTGAGACGGATCAAAAAGAAAATATTTGACAATTTTAGCGGGGTCGGAGGGAGTATTACGTATTTCTTATAAGACATCGTAAGATTCTTTTGCTGAGAAGTGAAGATTTTTATAGCATGTTTTTGGTTGTAGCATGTTCTAAACAAGATGAGGCTACATATTTTAGGAAAGCTACTTATATTAGATTAAATATATATTTAACTTATAGCATATTATTCTAAAATATTCTACTCCCTCCGTTCTAATATAATCTTTCAAATACTTTTTGCAAGCGATTTAAACAAGTGAAAATTGTATCGTGGAGAGTTGTACAGAAGAGAGAAATATATGAACAATGAATTTTTTACCATAAAAAGAAAGTAAAGACTCTTTTGGGAAGAATGGAAAATGAAAATCCAAACATTAACATGGGATAGAGAGAATCAATCAAATGAGGGTTCATATTTTAGTTCTGGTACAAGTTTCATTTTGTGGCATATTCTACTCAAAATGAGGGAAATAAATGATACATACCAAACATATAATCCATATCTTTTAAAAAATTTAGTAAAAGAATATGAACAAATAATATTCTATATTAAAATGTTTCAAGAAAATACAAGTTAAACTCACCAAATAGTTATTTTGGTGTAATAAAGGGAAACAAATTATATTATTAATTTATTCACAAAATATTATATCCAAACTATATTTTTAAAAGTTGGAGTTAATTGGGAATGGTTTACGAATATATTTATAGAAAATTTAATTTAATGACTTTAATCTAATTAAACATAATCAAATATAAAAGAATTTGTACTTGTGCTCGATATCTCGGATTTTGTTTGTTGTTTTTATAACTATTTTAAAAGTTTTTGTCTCGGCATTACTGATTGGGAAAAAAAGATTTGAAAGAAATTGTTCAAAACAGGATAAAACATGAATGGAAAAACTGTCAAATAGGTCCTCGAACTTTCATAAAAAAATCAATTAAGTCCTTCTATATGAGACTCTGTCCGGTCGTCGCGATTTGGGGTTGTTCCCAGTGGATTTTTTTGATGAAATGTTTTGAGCATCTTATTTATCAAGTCTAGTTTACTCATACCAATTTTCAGCTAAAAGTTTAATCGGGAGCGCATTCAAATTAATTCGAGAACGCAAAAATGCGCAGTTATCTTCAAGAATTAATTTGAATGTGTTCCCGATTGAATTTTTAGGTGAAATTTGTTATGAGTAAACTAGACTTGGTGAATAAGACGCTCAAAAAATTTCATCAAAAAATTCCACCGATAACTGCCCCAAATCACGACGACCCGAAAGAACCTCCTAAAGAAGGACTTAATTGACTTTTTTATAAAAGTTCGAGGACCTATTTGACAGTTTTCCCAACATGAATAGATAAAATTCATAAATAGGATAAGTATATTTCTTTGTAAAATATGAATTATTTACTCTTATTAAAGAATAAAACAATAACAATAGAAAGTAGAAGTAAATGAGGCTCCTATATATTTGAGAAATTATGTTTTGTTTTGCTGTCATTTAGAGGATATTCATAAAGATAAACCACAACATGTTATAATTATCTTTTTCAAAATCTGCAATAGTTACGTTGAGCCTTCGAGTTATAGCATCATATGATGAACATCAAATGTTGGTTTCTCCTAAATGTCGAATCCCTTTGCTGCCACATATTTGATGATTGCAATTTAAGTGTACCAAATTGAGTAAAACTTTAGAGAATGAGACGTTAAACTGCATAATGAGAAGCATGGTTAGAAGCTTAAGGCGGCGAAAAACTAATTGTTATCATGTGAGAAACCATAGCATGTTCATATTTGTATACAAGTCGGGCTGTTTTTGAAATTTTTAAAATTTGCAACACAACATTTCTCCATGCTAAAACGCATACATTATGCTATACATTGAAAATTTGTTTAACTGCAATTGGTTTTGTGTGCTTTTATTATATTGACATTTTGCGGTAATAAGTTGTTTTTCATTATAATTTTGTAATTTTACTTTTTGTAATTAATAATTCTTAACAAAATCTTCCTCCGTGCATCGCACGGGTGACATACTAGTAATAAGTAATAACAAGAATAAAAAAGTATCAAATTTAAAAAAAATGATATCAACTTCAAATTTTATTAAAAATTACGTTTTAATATGTATAAAAATATATAAAGTACATAGTTTAAAAATGGTTTTTTTTGTATAAAATACATATCAATACGTACGGTACATGTATTATACATGTTATCTTTAAAATATGTGATTTTCCCCTAAATTTCTGAAAAAATCATAAACCCGAATGTTATATGTGAATTATACGTGTGAGTGAATTATACGGGAATTATATGAGAATAAACTAACATTGGGACCATTTTATCTTACTATTATTTTTAATCATTAATGTAAATTGATACTCGGGGCAATTGGTTCGGTTTGACCAAATTAGATCGTACCAAATCGAACTATACTAACCAAGCCTGAACATGTGCAGTTCGATTTCAGTTCAGTAGTGTTTCTTCCAAACCAGAGTCAATCAAATTGAACCAAAATTGTGAAAAAAAACAGGAAAAAAACTGAACCGGAAAGTCAGAGAATTAAAATATAGTGCTCTATTTAGAATTTATAAAAGTTTTTACTCCTATTTTAAAATGTTCCCAAACGAAAAAATAATTATGTAGTACGTATTAGAGTATCTCTTGCCCAGTGATGATACTACTGATTTTAAACTCAATGATCAATCAATTACTTCAAAAGCTGATACAATAAGCCCAGAGGGATAGGGGTGGGGGTGGGGTGCCCCTTAGAAATTTAAAATTAATAAGAATAAAAAAAGAAAAAGCTCATTGTACACCCAACTTGTACATGTCTTTGTATATACCCTCTATTTGTTTGTATACATAAGTAATTCATAAAAAAATCATTTTTTTAAATAAAAAGTAGGGAATTGTCTATTTGGCATGTAAAATCGTCAAAGAAGACTTAAAAGAACTCCTAAATGAATACGAAAACTTGATTCCTCCAAAGAATGATAACCACAAAGTTCAAGTCGTGCTAGTCAACCTCATATGGTCTTGGGGTTTCATTGCCCACAAGCAAGGGAGTTTTCTTGTCCAGTTTTTGGCATTTTAAACATTTTAAATGTTTATTTATGCTGATTGGTTTTTCTTCCTTGTAAAAATTGGAGTACCTCTTCGACCGGGCTAGGCCCGACCCGGGCCCGAACCGAGTCCATGACTACGTTGAATCATGGAATTATATGCAAGTTATAAGCAATATCAGTATACTCTACTTTTCATATGATTTGGAGAACACTGAAAACTGAAAAGTATTACATACTGGAGTAGTCTCCTAGTCCCCAAGGGCAAATTGACTTGGAAAATTCAACGATCAATTGCATTAAGGGATTTGGACTCCTCTTATACATCATTATGATAAATTAACTTTTCGATTACAAATTGATGCATTATCTTTTAGTCCATATTTAACAAAGACATTTATCAAAAAAGGATTAGAAACTATCTCTTTAGAAGCGGAATGATTGGAAGTACCAAACCAAGACTTCAGATTCACGACTTCGAAACCTGGATTCTTTTTCTTATAAGTTATTTGTTGACAAAATATTTAATCAAAAAACGATGGATCATATCATCCATGGAAGAGTTTCTTCAAAAACTAACAAGAAAATAAATATAAAAAAGAAAGACAAAACTTACAAGTTCCTAAGTTGACACTTTTCAACTTACAAGTTTTGATTGATACCAATATTGTATTTCGAGTCTTGAATCGACAGGCAATTGCTCGATATATTTTTTCTCCACAATTGAAAAATATACATCGTTTGCAGTGGAGCAAAGACTCACTATTTTTGGCTTGAGAATATAATGAAATGAAGCAAAATGGCGCACTAAGATGTGCTTCTTTGTTAAGAAACAGCAATCAGTACATGCAATTTTCGACGGGATTTTCACTACAGATCATCTGGAAACATGTGCTTTAGTACATGAGTAAGACTGCGTACATCCCACTGCCCTTACCCCACCATAGGGGATGGGATAATGATGATGATGAATTGAAAACTGTACAACATGGCACAAAGAAGTTTCTGTTTTCTACAATGGAACACCAGCATGCTCAAGTCCACTTCTACAAAGGAACAACAGTATGCTACTTTGTTTCCCCATTAGGAGTACCATATGAATTCTCTATTATACATTCAAGCGCAATCCCATCATTGATCTACACTAATAAAAGGTTCATCATACCTCGAATATTCAGTCCAACCAATAACTAAGGTGATCATCTTTTCAATGCAAAGACAATGGACCTTTTATGTTGGAGTCAAATGGGGTTAAAGTTGATAGCAGAATAACTCATATCTGATAAGATAAGTACTTATGAGATATAGGGTTATTTTAGTCCATATCTCAGTGTGAAGAAACGAGCAGATAAATACACATTTTCTGTTTTTGTTCATATGAAAATCAATCTTCACTATCAGAGCTGGCTTCATCATCACTGCTGTAGTCGCTACTGCCATCAGTAAGATCAAGTTGCACATGCCGAACCTGTATGATTTCAGGCATCTTTGGCGGGCCCTGTGGAGGCACCACCACAGGTAGTTGCATTGGCGGACCTTCCACCTTCTGAGTGAGTGAAAGCGGAGGAAGGGGAACTGGATCTCCTTGTTTCCAGCCCGGTGGAGGGGGAGGTATATCAATGGGAAGTACCACGGGCATTCCGGGTTCCCATCCATCAGGCACCACAATATTTGACAGGATGGGAAGTTGTTTATGATTGACTTCCTCCATTGCCGGGTCAACAAGCGGCTCAAGTATCTTCTCATTACGCTCATCCGTTTTGGGCAAACCTACATCGTGATCAGCAAAGTTATACAGCTGAGAGGCACGCATTTGCTCCTCCTGAGGGGCAGGTGGAAGCGCCCCACGGAGTGGGCCAGACCCAGCACCAAATTCGGGTGGAGCGAAAGTACTATAGCTGATTCTGTGAGCGTAAGACAATATATCCGACAGTTTAAGCTGAGTAGTGACGGTCGTCAACGAATAGTCCTCCTCCTCGGGCAGTTTGGCCCGTTTTGGGCGGCGATAATCGGAGTAGTCATCCACTAGCATGTCCAGAACTTGGACCGCTTCCTTAAGCTTCTGGGCAAAAGAGAGAATGGAGGAATCTTCCGAACGGATTTCCCGGGAGACCCTCTGCTTTGCATCTTGAAGGTCAAGGATCTCTTGAAGCTCTGCAACGGCCTCAAACAGCTGTGACTGTAATGAAGTGAAGAGAGAAAGGGTTTGTTTCGTTGAAGATGGGAAGGAGTCAAGTGGCGGGATTTGATGAGAAGGTAAGAAGGAAGGGAGAGAGCCACGGAAGGAACTAACCCATTGGGTGCGGTTGGGTGAAACTTCAAAGAGTCTGGAAGAGAGGGAAGCCATTTGAGTAAGGAGAGATTGAGCTCTGGGCAGAGGGGGGAGGAGGGACAGAAGGGTTAGAGAGGTTGTTGTTGTCGAGAAGGTGTTTGGGTGTTGACGGGTGTGAGATTGAGAAAGATGGGTATTGGATTGTTTAGGAGAGGCGGGGTTTTGAATAGAAGGTGAGTTTGGTGGCGGGAGGCCGAGTCTAGCCGGAGATTGCAATATTTGGTGGGGTGTATTCTGTGTACTCATCATATGAATCAAAGCTTTTCCTTTCAATCTCTGCATAATAAAGCATAATAATGGGTTTATATAGATTTGTTTGATATATACAACAGAGCACAAAAATGGAGAAAAGTTGCACATAAGCTTGGTTGTTTATAAACATGAAAAATGTAGGGGAAAGCTTAAAATATTGATCGTCTGAATAGGAATAACACAAATCTATTGACTCTAGTTAAGTAAATTTTAAACTTTTATAGCACACACAGATGCATTGTTCTAGGAATCAAACACTGTATCTGTTTGTCATGTTACATTAACGTTGTGCTGCTCTCAGAAAGGAATTTGACAATGGATTGATTAAAGTTTTGTATTATTCATTCTAACTAGAGCGATATAAAAAATATGAGCAATGTCAGAACATGCATGCAAAAATTGACTCCCTCCATCCAAAAGAAATGTCCTCTTTAAAAACTTATTTTTGTCCCAAATGTAATGTATGCAACAAAAAGTAAAACAAAAGAAGGAACCGATGTGTGGATTTTTGCTGAACCAATGTTTTATCACATGAATTGCTGTACCAAACTGCATCATGTGATTCTGTTAATCACGTGTTTAGCATAAAATATGGTGGGCCAAGCGACCTGTTTCAGAAGAGTTAATGCCTCAAATAGGACTAATAGCAAAGTTAATTGCGCATATAGGACTACCTACGGAAGTGGAGTTTCATAGGACTTAATTCAACACAGTTGGACAAAAACAACCCTACTTTATTTTTTTTTAATTTTAAAAAGCAAAATAGAAAAACTGTTTGAAACCGTAAATTTTCAACTGCCGGGAGTAGCACTGCCGCCGTCGAAGCCGGAGCCGCGCCTGCTGCCCTCACCGGCACTGACTACCGCCGCCCTCGCCAGCACCGCCAGCTCATGTCCTTGCCGGCTCTGCCTATCACCGCCCTCGCCGGCGCTGTTGCATCATTGTCGGTGCATCGTCGCCATCCATCACCGCCCAACCAGCGTCACCATTCGCCTCTGCCGCTGCCATCCTACCATCGTCGTTGCCGCCTGTGTTAAATCTGGGGCCACCACTTTTCACCTCCGAGCACTGCCGCTGCCGTCACACCCCACCGCCAAAAATATGCCATTAAATTGGAAGATTTAGACTTGAAGATTAATTACCTTCAAATCTGTCTTTAAAATAAATTTTCAGATCTGCTATAGTGATGACAAATTTATATTCACCGATTTACACAAAACTGCCATAATCTTGGCAAAATATCAAGTCCACAACTAAATTTCTGAAAAAACCAAAAATTTAATAGAACAATAACTTTAACAAATTCATCTCAAAACAAATAAGAAGTGAATGACAAAAAAAAACTGATTTTCACAAAAAATGTTTTGCCATAATATGATTGTCAGATTACATTTCTGCCATAAACTTGGCAAAATTGTATATCATCATCAAAAAATCTGCCATAAACATGGCAAAATCATATGCTATCATCCAAAAATCTGGAAAATGGAATTTTTCAAAAAATCAATAAATCAGGAAACGGAAATTTGAAATAGAAGTCCTAAAATCAACAAAATGGAATGTCAAATCTAAAAAAATAGAAGGAAGGAAAAATTAGAAAAAGTAATTTCAAAGCCAAAAATTCGAATAATTGGAGGATGAGGAGGAAGGAGAAGAAGAAACCTGGCCAAACTGCGGTGTGCTCTCGGTGGAGTCATCGACAACATCGGCGGCTAGGGATGACGTTGTTGATGAAATCGATTTGATACGCAGGCAGAAGAAATCGATCGATCGATCTGATTTGCGGTGCGATGGAGAGAAGCAATCGATCGATCTATTTTGTGGTGCGATGGAGAGAAGAAAAGGATCGATCTGTTTATGCGGTGTGGATCATCGGCTAACAGAGCAGGGGCAATAATGGAATGAGAAATTTCTTATGTTTTCAAATAGTAGCAAAATAGTCCTATTTGAGAATAAAAACATAGATGGTCCTCTTTTGGATTTTCTCCCATCTTTTAGTCCTATATGAGGCAATTACTAGTTTCAGAAAAACCCTTCTAAAGATGTTGGGTTCATGTCAAATACTTCCAGGAGCTCAAATCCTCATACAGCAACAAATTGAGAGTTCTACCACCTTAATGTTTCCCATGTCATTGCTTGAGGTCTTAAATACTTTCTTCTTTATATGTACGTTAGCCGTTATACACAACCTCTTTATACTCTTTGTCTCTTCTTTCTTGAATTTGAACACAAAATGAAGTGGGGGAGGGGCGCAACTCTCACTCTCTCGGATCTGTGAATTTGTAATACAATACTTGTGGTGATGTCTGCCTAACTGTGTGCAGTCTCCTTGTATACCCTCAAAAAAGGCACTCAGCTAATATATTTGTGGTGAATGGTGATGACTACCTATTTCCACTAACACACAATGTTTACTAAAAGATTTGTCAGAGTAGTCAATGTCGTAAATGGCGATCAGCATTTGTCGCCGTAAGCATATTTTTTTTAGGGGGGGCTTTGCCACAATCCTTGGTGCTGGCATCGATTGTACATGAGGCATCGTCATTCTTGTGCAACCGCCATCGCCTGTGCCTTGCTTGCCATATTTGACTCTTATTTTAGCTTTTCTAAATATGCCCATATTATTTAGGCCCTTACGTGTAACCGTCTAAGGCAGTTAACTCAGGCCCTAACATTAATCTTTTAAACCTACATTGGTAATACATGAGTGATCGAGGCATACGATCGACTACTAGCAACTAATGTCTAATACCAAAGAAGTACATGTCACAACAGGGCCAGTCCTGAGAAAATGGAGACCCTGTACAACAATAAAATTTTGGGTTTTTTTTCAAGTTGCAACACAAGCAAATTGTCTTAAAATACAAATTACTAACAAACGTAATGATAAAAATAAAAATAGTCATTAATAACTTACAGTTTATTTAAAAAGAGACATTCTTCAAGCATATTTAGATGCAAAGTCATCTACCAAACTTGCAATGTCAATCTCTTCGAGCATATTTATAAATTTTAAATTAATATTCAGTTTAAAATTAGGGTGAAAACATGAAATACTATACTAGTATAATTATAATTTATTGACCTGAAGTTACCTAATAATATATTTATACCACTTTCTTAAAATTTAATTGTTAAACACATTTACACATTTATTATCAATTCAAACAATGGTTTGCTTTAACTGCAAAAAAAATCAACAAATAACAACAATGCAACAATTCAACAAAGACAACAAACATGAAATCAGAAAATCAGAAAATAAACAAATTACAATAATTCAACAAACAATTCAACAATTCAATAATTCAAAAGAATTAGCAACTAAATGAATCGGAAAAACTGAAAATTAGTGGACTGACCGGACTCGGGGAGGCTGGTCGCGGTGGGGCAGTCAGCAGTGTCGGCCTGGCGGCTGGCGCTGATGCTTGGTGGCGGAGGTCAACGCTCAGTCCTTTTTCGTCCTCTTTCCATCCTTCACGGCTTCACTCCAGAGCAGCGGCGAAGTGGTCGTCCTTCTGATTTCCGTGAGAAGTCCTCAAGTGCGCTGGTGGTTTGGCCTTTGTGGTTGGGCGGAATGGCGGATGATCGAGAATGATGGAGTCGGGAGTTCGGCCGGGGAAGTTGGGCGCATGAGTTTGGGCTGGGTTCTAAATTCTAATACTAGTTTTTTATTGGGCCTTTCAAAAATCCGGGCCCTGTGCTGTTGGACTCGGCAGTCTTTCCATGGGCCGGCCCTGCACTTGGGCCGTTAACATCCATAAGATACGTCATCTCGCCCTCTGTAGCAATTGTAGCCCGTGAGCGGTAATTCTTCTGCCGCCTTTTAGGCTTTTACTTCTGGTTCTGGGAATGGCTAACTATTCAAACCCGGTGGGGATGAGCGGTGGCAGTGAAGAAACCTCTGCCTTGGATACGAGGCCAGGTGGTATGGTCGATCAAAAGAGAGACGACGGCGACAGTGGGTCCACTCACACCACTCTTACCCTTAAGCTCTCGTATGGCGCTCAGCAACTAGACCTTACAGTGCCATCTGATTCCACTTTTGGTATATTTCACCCCATCTGTTTCTGCAAAAACACATTTGCTGCATACATTTTATATGTATATCAGGAGAAGTCCTTGTTTAACTCGAAATACTTCTAGTCCTAAAATATCTCCTAGTATATACTGACCTAATTATTTTACCTATCTTTATATCCGAAATTGCGTCTAATTCTGTGCATTATCCCTATCTGGACTGCCATCAAATAGCTGAGTTTTATGGGTTTTGCTTTTACTGTGGGGGTAGATGGCCGGGTGAGTAGTGTAGAGTCGTGAATGATCTGTTTGTGTTTTATGATCAAAAGTTCCATTTTTGTGGGAGTTAAGTCCTGAGTCAATCCTAATGTTCTTCTTTCTTATAAATTTTACAGGCCTATAGTTATTTATTTTATGAATCCAGTTTAAGCTTTAAATTTGATACAGACATACAGCTCATCTCTTTCAAATACTGAGTTTGAGTTGTTGGGATATGAACCGCTTAATGTTAACTTCCGTAGTATATAAGGAGAACACAGTCAGTGGCGTATCCAGAAAATTTGTCCAGTGGGGGCAAATTTACACTAATGTTATAAAAAAAATAGGAAAGAAATATTAATTAAAAAATCCACAGTATATTAGAAATAAAATAATTTTATATAAGACACAAATGAAATAATAAATTATAAATTTATAACTAATTTAAGTTACAAATAAACAAGTGTGTTTTAATACTAAGTGCGAAAAGATGTGATTGAAATTACATTGAAATAAATTATTTTAAACTAATTTGGATCTTAGTTTTAGACATTCCACTTTATTAAGTACAAAACCAAATATATACGGAGTATAAAAAATGGATAAAATATGTAATCATAAGTGATTTAAGTTAAAATGAAACAAGTTTTAATATTAAGTATGAAAAGATGTTATTACAATTACATAAGTGATTTATTAGGTACATTGAAAAATTAGTTGGAATCTTAGATTTGCACAAATTTTAAACAGTTGTAAAAGGGCAAAAAAAATTCAAACGGTAGGGAGAGCGCGCTGGAGAGATTCGAACCTTTGACACCGCGGAAGAGCGCATAGCACTCCAGCCAGTTGGCCACTGCGCTAGCTTTCCCCGTTTCAGAGCTTAAGCATTATTATACTACATATAAGAAAATGATATATATACACAAATAAAATTTGATATATATATAGTGGGGTAAGCCGGGTAAGGTGGGGGTTGAGTGGGGGCAGCTGCCTCCTGCTCCCACGCTAGATACGCCCCTGAACACAGTGCTACCTATAACTTAAGCTTTATTGTTGTCTAGGTGCGTAACTGCGTATTGTACAATTGTGGATAATCTACATCATTTTTTTTGTTAAAAGTTCATTTTTGGAGGAGTTAAGCCCTGCAAAGAATCCTAGGGTGTTTGGATCTGATTCTTAAAACTGTTTCTGCTCTTTCAGGGAGCAGAAGCAGAAGTTGCAATGTTTGGGTGAAAGTGCAGAAGCGATTCTGGTGCTCTAATTTATTCCTAGAATCAGTTTTTTAGAAGCCGGGGTGACCAACTTCTGAAAACTGGTTCTGATTCTGCTTCTTCTTTAAAAAAAGAAGCAGAAGCAGAATCAGTTCCAAACACCCCCTTAGTGTTCTTATCTTTATTTACACCTTGCATAATTTATATTCTGAGTTTTGATTCTTGGGATATGATGTGCGCAGTGGCGGAGCTACAAAAACACGTCGATGTCAAAACTTAGTCATGTACAATATCAAAAGGTCGAATTGTTTGAGACAATACTTCAGTTAAATAATTCATACGTTGGTGGGATAAATGTCAATTTAAACAAAACCTAGATATTTATTGGTTTGATACAGGCACTATATTATACATTCTACGTAGCTAATGGGTGAATAAAACCCGTGTTTTGAGAACTGGACCAGACCGGGCGATTCGACCCGGTCACCCGGCCCCAAAACTCATCCGGTTGAGGGCAAACCCGTTAATATGTGTAAAATCGGAATTAACCGGTGGCCCGCCCAAACCCGGACCGAACCGGGACCGCTTGAACTTAGGAAACCCGGAATTTTGATGAAACCCGCTAGTTGAAAGCATTTCTTCATTTAGAATTTGGGTCACCAAAGAATTTTCATCATTTGCAATGGAGCCAAAGATCACTATATTTTTGCTTGAGAATATGATGGAATAAGCAAAATGTCTCACTAAACTGTTTGCGCTTCTTTGCGTCACCGGGGTAATGATAATGATGAAAGAGTTTCAAACCCTGAACCTCTGCATAGGAATGTTGCACGCCGAACCAACTAAACCACTAGCTGGTTGTGTAAATACTTTCTTTTCAGGTTGTTATAATATATAATATACTCTTAAAAGCTAACACTGCAATTATTCATTATTAATTTGTAATTATAATAATAACTACAGTACTATTTACTATTGCGCACTATTATTATACTAAAAAACAAAATAACCTACTGCATATTTATGAAGTATTCATTAAATTTTTCAATCATCTTGAATTTAATGAATTTTAATATATTAGTACATTAATTGTTAATTTAGATAAATATTGGCTTCACATATTATCCATCTGATTTCAAATACATCTTGAGTTTAATGAATTTTTATATATTGGTACATTAATTTAGACTTATAACCGTTACTAAATTTGGAATGAGTGACTTTTCAGCATACACCTTTAATCTAATATATAATTATATTTTTTTTATATTTTATTTTTCAATAGTTAATAAACATTGACCGAGTTGATCCATTGTTGACCCTTGACCCGGTCTCTTGCCCGGGTCACCTCTTGGTCCGGTTTTGACAACATAGAATGAAATGTTTTTTTTTAATATTGAGAATATAACTAACATTACGAATCAAATTTTATTCATTTAGAGTTTAGATGGTGCTGATTTTCCAAGATTTATAACTTTTGACTCAAATCGAAGATATTTTTGCTCTACATGCTTAGATTTTCAGGGGGGTTGGCTGACCACCCTGAACCCCACTTGGCTCCGTCCCTGGATGTGTGTGTGCTAATTTTACTCCTATACACATAATATAGTTAAAGTTAGTAGAGGCTCAACATTGATGCAGCAAAACTTGAGTTAAAGTTGACCTAAGAAACGGTGGATGCGACTAAGGTGCAAGCATGTAACAACTGTCTCATCATTGGAACAAAAATTCTTTCGTTTTGATTGGCCAACTTTTTTCCCATGTTTGATTTTAAACGAGTGCAAGAATGAAGTGCCCCTTATAAATGGGATTGTGTTCTCTTTTTGCTTAAGCCCCTTTTCTCTATTTGTCTTTTTTATTCCACATTTGCTGGGCTTCTTATTGGGTATGAAAGCTAGTGTATAAACTCTACTAAATCTGTCCAATAGAAAACCAATTTCTTCTGTATACTATGAAGTATGAAGTATGAAATGCTTATCTCTTTTTTATTTCAATCGTTACATGTTGCAGTTTGCATTTTTGTTAATGACTTATCCGCTACTTTTGAATTTTGATTGAACCTATGAGTCTATTGTAAAATCGCAGACATATGCTAATGAATTGAATTGTTGGAATAGGGCCCATTTGGTAAGGGTTACTTTAGCTAAAACTGGTATTTTTGAAAAGAAAAATGTTTGGTAACTTCCATTCAGCTCAATAAGAAAGTTAAAAGCCACATATTTTTTTCTGATATGTAGAAGAATTGGCTACCAAAAGGGGCCTAATAATTTGGAGGATGGAGTATGAGGATGTATGGTACTTATTGATAGCTTATTATGGAGTTAAATATAAGGTTTCTATGTCTGGAGTATATTGTGATATGGTAAATAGTCTATTCACTTTGTTGTATAGTGATGGACGGTATATATGAAGGCTATTCTCACTATTGGATTTTGATTTCAGGTCACGTAAAAGATAATATTTCCCAAGTAATTGGTTTGGAGCCTAAAGTCCAAAAACTTTTGTTCAGAGGTAAAGAAAAAGAAGATCAAGATTATTTGTTTTTGGCCGGCGTGAAGGACAATTCTAAATTGGTTCTTATGGAGGATACAACAAGTTATGAAAAAAAGTCTGAAAAGGCCAAGGTAAGAAGTGAAATATCAAGGGTAGGTGATGATGATGATAATGTACCCGAAGAGGTCAAGGGAAATAGTGAAATATCAAGAGGAGGTGAAGCAGTTACTGCAGTCAGAGTAGAAGTTGATAAGCTTTTGGATCAGGTTGAATCTTTGTTAATTATGAGCATGTTATTGTTTTCATCATCATCATCATTAGTCATTGCCATCACTAATGAATAGCTTAATGCTAATGTGTTTGTTCTTCAAGGTGGATGCTTTACAAGTGGTTGTTCATGGTGGGACCAGGGTTGATGAGAAGGATATTGTTTTTTTAACTGAGATGCTGATGAGGCAGTTATTGAAATTAGATAGTATAGAGGCTGAAGGGGAAGGGAAGTTGCAAAGAAAGGAGGAGGTAATTTTTTGTTTTATTATGCCGATCCCACCTTGTTGGTTAAACTTTGGTTGAGATTGGTTTGGCTAGACATGATTTATTTAGAATCATAGGGTGTCTTTCATCATCATCAAAACAAATCAGAACTGACAATTCTATCTATGCTTTTTACTTGTTAGTTCTTTCGTTCAATCTTGTTTCAAACATTCAAGATAATCTCATTTTTTCTCAATTTGGATACAATAACACATAACTATTTAGAGTTACATTTAGGAAGTGGACCATGTGACCATGTGGTCGCATGTTGAATTTAATTTTAAGATACCATTTAATCTTAAGTTTGATTAACGATAAGGACAATTTTGATATTATATAAGAAAATAAGGCCTGTATCAGTCCACCAAAAAAGAGTATTGTTTAAGGTAGGTACTACTATTAAAATCTGGTAAGCCACAACTTCCGTTAATTAGGAATCCAACTATTTTTTTAATTTATACTGTTGGTTCAAAAAAATCATCATATGCAACATGGCAATTACATTTTTGGGTGGGGTGGGGGATCACACCAAATATTTAGCTTCGTTATTTAAACAGGATTCTTTGGGAACAAAACAAATGTTTGGGGCATGGCTCTTTTTAGGGTGGATGGAATATAAACAGTTAGCAGTGAGATATTATTAAATATACTTATTTGCTGGAGTCCCTCACACTTTTGAATAAGGTTCTTGAATTGCCGAGTAGTTCATATGTGGAGTTGCTCTAGAATTATTCATAAATATGCAATGTATAGGGATCCTATGCAAAACGAATCCTAAACCCCTTTTTAAAAGCTTAGCATTTGCTTGAGATAAAGCAACCACATGTCACATATATTCACTTAATAAAAGTCTGGCAAATGTTCCCCGGCATTTACCCCACTGATTTTGGTTGTTTGCCTTCCGGGTTTAAAAAAAGTATTCACTCAAGTCACTTCTAGAAGATCTATACCCATAAATGGTCCTTGGTAGAAGAGTAACCCATATGACACTCACATGAATGAAGTTGTGTTTGTTCTGAATAGACTGTTCATAGCGTATATAGTTACTGCAGGTTTTAGAATAACAATGCCATTATTTCAGGTGAGGAGGGTCCAGAGCCTAGTAGACAAAATGGATGTTCTGAAAGCAAAGAATTTGAATCCTTTTCATGACAACTCGAATAATCCACCCGTCGGTGACAATTCTAAAGCCGTATCTGTTAAAACAGAATGGGAGACTGTTGATTCAGTCGTCGGCAGCCTCCATTCTCCTCCACCTCCAACTTTTTCACCACCATCCTCATTGGGAGGAGTTTGAGTAGTCATTCATTAGTTATCACCCATTAATGACTCCATTTTTTGCCGCGGTCGAACTTAACTTGTGGAGTACACAATATTGATATGCAAGCATCGATATAAATTTATGTATGTATGTATGGATGGATGTTTGTATGTTTGTGTTAGTTCAAACTTCAAAAGTGGAAGCTCGTTGGCGACTAGGAAAGCTATAACTGAACACTAAAGTAGGAATCAAAGTATATAAAAATGGGAAAGTGCTAAGAGCTTGTATGCAAGAAATAGCTTGTGTTATCATTGAACCTCGGTGGCCTTCTATGGGCATTATAAATTGTAATCACTATGAATTATAGTGGCTCATTAACTACGACATTAACATGATATTAACTATTTCATTATTTGCATTGATTGTTCCTCTTTTGATTTTAGCCACCTTGAGATCTCTCCTTACTGGGCTTGTAGCAAGTCTCACTAGTGGGCCGGTAGGTTGCCTCCATGTTAGGATGGTAGGTCGGCTTCATGTTGGAGTAGGGATGGATTCGGTTCGGGCCACCTGGCTCGGCCCGGTACTGTGCGGGCCCGGGACCGGCCCGGGCGGGCGGTCCGGGACCGGGTATGGAACCGAACCGGTGGGAAGGGGCGAGGCGGGCTCGGTGCTGGATTATTGTGACCCGGCCAGGTCGGGCCCGGGTCCGGGTCTAATTTAAAAAAAAAAAATTGGTTTGGGCTACTAGCCGTTGGGGGTGGGGCTGGGGACAACCCAAACGGCTATATAGCCGTTGGGTGGGGTAAAGGGGGGGTCCGGGGGGGTTGGCTGGTGGGGGTGGGGGGTAAAAAAACCTATAAATACTCCTAATCTTAAACATTTTTTCATATCTCTTCTCCAATTCTTCCTAAATCCTATTCTTAACTCTCTACTCTCTAATTCTCTTATTCTCCAATATATTATATTTATTATTTATATATCTACTTTATAGTTTATACTTAAGAAGTTAAGATGGAAAATCAAGATGCCATTATACGGTATAATTTTGATAAACACAAGGACCCGAAGACTGGGATGTGGTACGCAATTTGCAAATGGTGCGAGAAAAAATGTAGCATGGGGGTTTCTGGCGGATTCGGAATGGCAATCAAGCATATGAAGTCATGTGACAAAGCCAAAGGATCGGGAGGTGCGGGAAGTTCCGATTGATTACAATTTTCAAAATGTTTATCTGTTAAAGTTTGTTTTAATTTTCAAATGTAGTTCCTATTTCATTTCAAATAAATGCAATTGAAGTTTGTTTTTAATACTCGTATAAAACTATAAACTATAAAATATAAATTATATAAAAAAAATTAACCGGCCCGAACCGACCCGACCCGTGACCCGGGCGGGTGGCCCGGCCCGGACCAGACCCGTCCAACCCTCGGGCCGGTCCCGGGCCCATGTCATACTACTCGGCGGCCCGATCGGGCCTAGGCCCGGCCCGAGTCCATCAATATGTTGGAGTGATAGGTTCGCTCCTTGCTGGGCTGGGGGACTGGCTCTTTGTAGGTCTGGTGGGTCGATCAGGCGGTGTAGGTTGATCCAGTCCGTGGGCTTGGATTTGTGGGTCCAAATATTTGGCACGTGCTTGTAGAACTCTAGGCCGATTCCTAACCCCATCATGAGTCTTCCGCTCCCTTAGTAAACTATTAGACTCGGTTAAGATGGAATAGTTTTAGTTAACTAGTACACACAATATAAGCCGATGAGTTTGTGCTTTTCCTCAACATCTACCATAATTTGTTGTATGGTGCTTTAGTATTTTACTTTTTGTACGTGGAGCATCGATTTGGATCCGGGCCGTTTTAAAATTTACATTGGCTTTCAAGTTTCAAGTCTACAAGAAAGGTTCTTACCTATTTTCCTGAAGGATGCAAGAATCCAGGTTTGTTTCCTCCATTGCACTTCAACATTCCCTTTAATTTAAAAGTAATTAGCTTAAATAGGAGTAAACATGGTTATATTCCCTAAATAAGATTAAACATTGTCTTTGTGCCTTTAATATAATTAATTCTACTCTTAATATAATTACTGCTACTCTTAATATAATTAGTTCTACCCTAAATATAATTAGTTGCTTCCCCTAGATCTTCCATCATAACCAATGGAGTCAGACAACAGCGGTCTAGTGGCTAGTCCCAACCCTTCATGAGATATTTTTGTCCACTCACAAGAAATTGCTACTATTTAGGGAATTTTACTTTGACAGTATTATTTTATTTTATCTTTATCTTTTTTGTTAATTCTCTTTTTCTTTTCGTTTCTTTTCTTTTCTTTTCCTGAAACGAGCGTACATGTGTCAACCCATAGCACCGCCTATAATTCTTTTGGGGCTGACCCCCCTAGTAAGTCAAATGACCTCTCCCAATAGGTCACAATGCATGACGAATGACGACGTCCAATGGCCTAGGAGTGGACTCGGGCCGGGCCAACCGGCCCGGAACCTGACCGGCCCGCTACTGTGCGGGCCCGGACCGGCCCGGTGAACCGGTTGGTTGCCCGATTTGGGCCACCTGGCCCGGTGGGGTGGCGGTTCGGGCTCGGGCCCTTCAAAAGGTGAACCGGCCCGGGCCAATTTATTATTATTTTTTGAATTTTTTTAAGTTTTTGGGTTGGGCTGGGTATTTTGGGCCATTTGAGGTGGTTAGGGTTGGTTTGGGGGTGAGGGGAGGATTGGGGGTTAACTAGGAAAAGCCAAAAAAAAATTAGAACCGAGGCCCGATCTGGCCCGGCCCGGCCCGGATCCGGGGTTACCCGGCCCGGCCCGGATCCGGGGTTACCCGGGCCGGTTCCGGGCCTCCCCCTTCATGAAACGAGGCCTGGCCGGGCCCAGGCCCGAACTGGAACCGGTCAACCCCTACAAGGGCCGATGATGATTGACAACGATCGATAGCCTGATGAGTGATGATTAAGAGGCCATGACCATCTGGCGCCACTAGTTGGCGAAGGTGAAGAGGCGATTGCCCGACAACCAACAGACAATGGGAACCTTAGATGGGGCGCGTTCGATTATTCCTGTGCGTCCGGAATTTGAAATCTGAGGAGGGTCGATGAGGTTGTGTGGAATGTTTTGTTTGTATAATTCTATCAAAGTCATTTAAAATCCATTGTACTATATAATAATTGAAATTCATGGAATATTTAAGAATACCTATATTTTGATAGATTCCACTACAATCCATAGTGAGAACATCTAAATTGTGATAGAATTTTAAATTCCATTAAAATCTCTAACAATCCATATTGAGGACACCCCCTTAATGTATGAATTAAAGACCATTGTCTGAAATGTTACATCTTAATTGTTAATTGGATGAGGTTAATCTGTTTCATAAGACGGGTTAAAAAATGTTCGGATAATATGACCTCACTAGATCATATCATACAGATCAGACCATATTCAATTAGAACAGACAAATCAGACAAAAAACCAGTTCAATTAAAAACATTTAAAAATTAAATGTCCTTTTTATCTCGTGCACGATACAAGTTGAAATATAATACTAGATAGTCAATTTATATCTTTTGATTCTAAATTGATTTGAACAACTTCGGATTAATTATATCTACCCCGTAAAATAGTCTAACTTTTGTTTTAACATATTTAAACATTTAACTTACCACAAGGATAACATGAATAGGGACAAAAGAGTACTAAATGGAGATTTGTTAAATACAAGTACTTTTTTGTCCTTTATAATTTGGTCGTCTTTCTTTTTTTGGTTGTTGTAAAAATTGTCATTTTCTCTTCTAATCAATTATTTTATGGTTCATGTTATTCCTTTATCCTCTACACAAATCTCAATTATGCAATTTTTATTTTATTATTTTTCGTGTTGATCAAACGTAGCAACGTTATAAAAGATAGAGAGAGTATTATCGTTATGTTTGAGTAACTTAAAGTCTCAATGAATCATATGGTTGTAATTCTATTATATAAAAATATAATTGTAAAGTAATTTAGTAGTGAAAAGTTGTTTCAAAAGATACATTTTCTTTCCTTTTTACTCATATTGATTATAGATTTATAGGTGATGAAAATGAAAGTGTCCAGAACTCGGGATGTGAATATAGTTTACATATTATATATACATGAATAATTGATAGTTGAGTGTATTACAATTGGATTACTAATCATTCAGATTATTATTCTCATTCTATTCTTTAAAATATGGTAAAATGTGGAGCATGATAGCATGACAAATATGGAACGTGATATTTGATAATCCGATGAAACTTTATATTTTTGTCAAATAAATGCTAGTTTCCATTGCCTTAACATTATTTTATTTTATCCTCCCGATGACATACCAAATTAAAATTAGTGCCTTGATTAAATTGCAAATCATTTAAGTGTCACTTGACTTTAACCTGCAGTATAGCAATTATTGCTTAAATCGATGGTAATCATAATTAACCACTTCTTACTCAACTACAGAGGGTGAAAAAAGTGATTTCATTTGAATGAAACTGAAATGAGTTTTATGTAACAATGAACCAATTAGAGATCAAATTTCGATATCAATATATTTATTTCGTTTTTTGGGAAAGATATTTATTCCGTTTTGGCGAAATTCATAAGAATAATCTCTACTTTTAGGGATTTTATAATAATAATTCCTACTGAAAATGTTTATAAAAATAATCCGGAATAGCAATAGTGTCCACAAGAATAAATTGGGGTGAATTCAAATTAATGCCCGTTTAATACTATCAATCCCTACTTTCACTTTTCTCTTACCCGTTCTTCTTATTGAAGTGAATTAAAACTAAAACTCATGTAATATTAATGTCATTTCCGCCTTATGTGGTTCTTTCTAGGATAGAAGATAGAAGTGTTACCCAAAAAGAAGAGTGATGAAGGAGAAAGTAGAGATAAGATTTGGGGGAATTAAATGGAAAATAATTTAAATTTATCTCAATTTATTCTTGTGGATACTATTGTTAGTTTGGATTATTTTTATGAATAATCTTAGTAAGGATTATTATTGTAGAATTTAGCCTATTGTAGACACTAAAAGTAGAGATTATTTTTGTGAATTTCGCCTTCCGTTTTTCATTCTCTTTAGATACTGTGAAGGAACACTCATATCTTCAAATATGTTTTTTTACGTTCTATAATAAAACTAGAAATAATACTACGTAACATCTTTTACCCCGTGCACGGCACGGGTAAAAATACTAGTATTTAAAAAAATCAAACGAAATTTCCACAAATGGAAAAAAATCAAATTTAAAAATTTCATAAATGTTATAGTACATTGTAGTCTTCTTATTCAAAATTATCTACGTATAGTTTTATGTTACACATTAGTTTCTTTGCAGGGCATATCATAGTACCCCTTGAATCAATATCTATTTAAGAAAAAATTATATGGAAAATAGTTAAAATAGTCCTCCGATTTCCAACAGTTTTAGTCAATCCAGTCAGAAAAAAACTATAACTTTATTTATTTTGATCATTATACAATCCAACTTGCAAAATAAAAAATTATATGAAAAATAGCTAAAATAGTCCTCCGATCCCCAACAGTTTCAGTCAATTCAGTCAGAAAAATAACTATACCCTTATTTATTTTGATCAATATACAATCCAACTTGTAAAATAAAAAATTAGGTATTTTGTAAAAATATGACTTATAAGACTAAAAACTGAAAAATAGGAGTTACAAAATGGGCTCTAGATATATTGCACATTTTACGATGCACTTTTTGCCAATTAAAGTCATTTTTTGCGTCTTAAGTTTAATTTGGCTACAAAGTAGAATTATATCCAACTAAATTATTATAACAAAAAGTAACATGTAGAAAATATATATGACTATTCACTAAAGGGGTGTTTGCGACAATTTCAAAAAAACGTTTTCATCTTTTGACTTTAAAAGGTTGAAATGAGTGTTCTCGAGTGACAACTTCTACTTAAATTAAGTAATTAAAAGTTTTTTTTGAAACGAAAATAGCTTATATTAAATCAAACGATCCAAAACAATAACAATATCCAAAAACCTAAATCTCCCTCTATTCATCCAAACCAAAGCTCATCGGCCCCCTCACGTCATGATAAAACATAGAATAGTCTACTCTAGGAAGAGCGAAACTAATCGCTGAAACTGTAAGAGCATAGAGCCTATTAGCGGCTTAATCAGCCTGATTGCCTCCAAACAATAATCTATCAACTAAATAAACCAAAACACCAATCTATCCCCCTTATTGTTTGTCATAGGAAGAACAAAATAGAAATAGTAAAATAGTCTGGACTGAAAATTAAAAACTAGAAATAGTAAAATAGTCTTCCAAACCCTAGTCGCATAGTTCCTCCATGGAAGCGATTCGGGAGAAGGATGAATTTTCATAACTTCATCTTCTTCCTTCACCACTTTGATCTGTCCATGAGTCGCCTCCATCTACTGGCCAAAATACTGCACGAACACAACCAATTCGAAAGTGAGCAGCCTCCACATCCTCGCTATCGATACGCGAAGCTAGTCAGAACTCTGCTATTCAGTCCCAATCGGAAGTAGATACCTTCCTTCCGTCTGGTTTGGTTCGTCGCAACTATTGAATCGAAAAAACTTCAACCCTCTTGTCTGAATTAGATCGCCAACGCAAGTGATGTGCGATACTTCGTTTGTCCCCAATTGCGATTGAACTCCAAAGGTGGAAGTAGGTTGAGAGATGCTTAAAAAGTTTTTCAACATTTTAATATACATAGACTAACTTTTACTCTTCAAAAACACGTTTTGCTCACACCCTAGATACCAAGTTTTACTTTTGAAAAACATTTTTTCCCACACACTACAAACTTTTACTATTAAACAATTTTTTCTAGAAACATTTTTTTAAAATTTTCTAAAATCACTTTATAGAATCATTTTTGTAAAGTAAAAGCAATCACAAACACTTTCTTAATATTGAAGCTTGCCAATTGCCACGGGGCATTTGCATTGTGTACATAAGTTCCATATATTATATACTCTGTATATATTAGGGTGCATGAAAATATTGAAAAGGGGAAAAATAATTAAAATACCCTAAATTTTGAAGGGGGGTGAGATGAACACCCCAAACTTGCATATGTATTCTAAATATCCCGAACTTTATACAAAACGTTATTTTGGCACCATAGTCAAGTACTAGTTCTTCCAGAAATGTAAATTTATGGTGTTAATTGCATAATTTAAAATATATTAGAATTCATGAAAACACAATTAACAATATAAACTTCCATTGCAAAATAAATAATGTTACCCGCAATCTATATAATTGCAAAAGTTTTAATTTGCTATTTTAAATTATGCAATCAACCCCATAAATTTACATTTTTAAAAGAAGCAATACATGACAATGATGCAAATAATAACTTTTTATATAAAGTTTGGGGTATTTAAATTACATACGTAAGTTTGGGATGTTTACTTCACATCGCATCAAAGTTTGAGTATTTTTATTATTTTTCCCAATGAAAAAATATTTATTATTTAATGTAGGAACGCACTTTAATTGAAAACGGATGATTTCGTTGTTAATCGAGCAAATTTCAAAAAAGTTGTGGGAACTTGAACGACCATTGATTTCAATAAATATTGCAGAAAGAATAAACGGAAAATAACATTAAATAATAATAAAATGATTGTGTTATGCTTGATCCCCTTTAACTCACTTTTGACCTTTTTCCGGATGAGAATATGATTTATGTTTTCTCCTTTTATACTTCCTCACCTATATTCTTAAATAAGTATGACAATTGACAACCCACTTTTTCATGTTTGCCTATGTAAAACTTTGATCGCAACGTATTGAATTTTACATTTTACACTATTCACATGCTCTGCTTTGATTACATTTTACGCTATTATTTTATGAAAATTATTTTTTTTTAAATATTGTCCAATCCATCTCATTACGAATTTTCAAAATCTGATTTTTAATATCTTTTTTACTAATAAAATTAAGATATAATTACGATCAAAAGACGTGCGTTGACAAATGTGAAATGTTGACCGTTGAAACTAAAAAAGAATCGATGGAGTATATATAACTATGTATTAGTAAAAAAAATAAAAAATTTAAAAAGACAAATTTAATACGGAGTAATATTTTTTTAAAAAATACTCCATCCGTCCCATAAAATAAGTCTCATTTTCCTTTTTGGACCGTTCCAAAAAGTTGTTCTCATTTCCCTTTTTGGAAAGTTTTGCGTGGCTAACATTCATTTACCTTTTTCTTACTCAACCACAACCATACATTTCCACTTTATTCTCACTTTCTTAAACTCCGATCCATGTCAAAGTGGGACTAATTTTCCGGGACGGAGGGAGTAGTTATTAACATTTTAATTAATAAAGTATAATTAAAGTAAAACATGTGAATAGTGTAAAATTCAATATGTTGTATTTATTTAAGAACGGGAAAAATTCTCACTCTCTATTGATATCTTTTAATGGTAGTTTAATTATAAAAAGATCTTATAATTATAAAATTTTTATAACGTATTTTAAAAAACTGTCGAAAGTATACCTCCCGATGCTTTTGTTTTTGTTCAGCGGCTCTCCATTTCTAACGGACATTTGCAAATTGGGTATTGCGTCTCCCTGCGCGCAAACACAGATACAGAAAGCGAAAAAAGAACAGAGGAGGGGATGAGAGAGAAAAGAAGATTAAAGATATTCATAAAACATAGAAATAAGGAAGTGTGTGGCCGTTTCACCGGCCACCGCCGCCGGTAGATGCCACCAGCTGCATTTCAATTTTGGTAGCTGAAGATTTTTTAAAAATTGAAGTGCAAACACATTTTCATTCATTAATTGAAGAAGAAGAGGGGAAGAAAATTAAAATCGAAGAAGAAGAGGGGAATGATTGCAATCAACCAGCGACAATAGCGCTTTGTTTATTTTGTTCATCATTTCTTCATCTTCTCTACGATTTGAGGTCAGTTTCATCCTTTTTGTATGAAGCGGGGGTGTCTTACGACTCGTTAATTGCAATATCTGGTGAATATTGTGGCAATAAGGATAAGACAGAATGCAACACAACTTATTTACCTCCATGCGTAGCATGAAGATGATGGACGGGTGCAAGGGCTTACAAGTGTGTGCCCTAAATCCAGGGGCCACCGTTTCCGGCGGTGTTAGCGGTGTTTTCCAAAACTTACACGATCATCTAAAGGGAAATCCGATTAGATCAAGGTCCACCTGGAATTTCCAAAGCGTCCAACAACCAAGTAATAACGTGGATCCTGATGCCTTAGCTGAAGCCCTAGCTGCTTACGGCCTACCCCATGCCGATCTCATAGAGCCCCAGATTGACCTGTGCCTCAAACCTGTAGACTTTGTCCAAACCCTATCTAAACTTTACCTTAAGTTTGAGAATTGCCCACAGTTTGAGAAGTCTAGGGTGTTTCTAGAGCAATGCGCTATGTTTAGGGGATTGACAGACCCTAAGATGTTCCGAGGGAGCCTTGTGTCTGCCAGGAAACATGCTGTTGATGTTCATTCCAAGGTTGTTCTTTCTGCTTGGTTAAGGTATGAGAGGAAAGAAAATGAGCTTATTGGGGTATCAGCTATGGAAAGTTCTACAAGGAGTATGGAATGCCCAAGGTGCTCTTTGGTGCCAGGATATAATCCTGAATCAGCTAATGATCGTTGTTCATGTCTCAAAACCACAAATAGTATAAGAGAGGACCGAGGCGGTGGGCATTGTATAGAAGAAGATGAGGAAGTCTCGACCTCACCGATCTATCCTAATGAAGAAGAAGACGATGATGATGATGATTATGATATGTCATTTTGCATTGGGGATGATGAGATTAGGTGTTGTAGGTTTAAGATTGCGTCACTTTCAACCCCATTCAGAACTATGTTGTATGGTAACTTCCTAGAGTCGAAAAGGGAAAAGATATACTTCTCACAGAATGGATTCTCTCCAAATGCAATGAAAGCTGCTGAGGTCTTTAGCAGGACGAGGAAAGTTGACTCTTTCAAACCAGAAACTGTCTTGCAGCTATTATCATTGGCCAACAGATTCTGCTGTGAAGAAATGAAATTTGCATGTGATGTGTATCTAGCCTCTTTTGTATATGACATAGAAGATGCTGCATTACTTATAGAGTATGGGTTAGAGGAGTCTGCATATCTTCTAGTTGCAGCTTGCTTGCAGGTTTTCTTGAGGGAAGTTCCCATGTCGATGCAAAACCCTAATGTCTCAAGTCTTTTCTGCAGCTCAGAAGGGAGCGAAAGGTTAGCTTCGGTTGGTCATGCTTCCTTTTTACTATACTATTTCCTGAGTGAGGCTTCCATGGAGGATGATATGAGATCTAACACGACTGTGATGCTATTAGAGAGATTGGGGGAGTGTGCAACTGAAGAATGGCAAAAGCAATTAGCGGCCCATCAGTTGGGTTGTGTAATGCTTCAGAGAAAAGAGTACAAAGATGCTCAACAATGGTTCCAAGCGGCTGTCGATGCGGGCCATGTTTATTCATTGGTTAGTTTCGCCAGAGGCAAGTACAAGCGTGGACATACTTACAAGGCATATAAGCTGATGAACTCACTCATACATGATCATGCACCATGTGGGTGGATGTACCAGGAACGGTCTCTTTATTGCAATGGGAGAGAGAAGATGATGGATTTGAATGTGGCCACCGAATTGGACCCTACACTTACTTATCCTTATAAGTATAGAGCCGTTTCAATGGCCGAGGACAACAATGTGGGGCCCGGTATATCAGAGATCAACAGAATAATCAGTTTCAAAGTTTCTCCCGACTGTCTAGAGCTTCGGGCTTGGTTCTTGATTGCCTTGAAGGATTTTATTGGAGCATTGAGAGATGTGAGGGCACTTTTGACTTTGGATCCTCATTACATGATGTTCCATGGAAAGCTGCAAGGGGATCATTTAGTGGAGCTCCTGTGCAATGCAGTCCAGCAGTCGAGCCAAGCTGATTGCTGGATGCAGCTGTATGATAGGTGGTCTTGTGTAGATGATATTGGATCCCTAGCCGTTATACATCATATGTTGGCTAATGACCCAGGAAAGAGTCTCCTACAATTTAGGAAATCTCTCCTCCTTCTACGGTAAGAGTTATTGTGTTAGCTTCTTATCTTCAAGCTCTAATTGCATGTACCAATTACTGGTTACGAGATTCGATCAAGTTACCAAATAATCCTTGTGGTTATTAAAAATTCCAATTAAACCCCTTTGTAAGTTATATATCCCATAAATTACACTGCTAGCTTTGCTAGGTGATAGAATATTATGATATCAATGGTTGGGAAACTTACTCCTAACATTTGTACCATTCTTTTGAAACGTTAGATATTTTAGTTTATAAGATGCTATGGAATTTTATGATTTAGTCCAAGACACATGGCTCCTGCTAATATCATTAATCTTGTCATTTTCGGAGCTAAGGTTTTCATTTGCGTCAAACTTGCCTTCAAAAAGGTCCATGTGTAATGTATATAAACTTGAGGGATCATTTTGCATTTGGCTGACTCGCCAGGTAGATAAGTATAACTAACCCATTCTTAAACTATACACTTACCAAATGCCATTTTTGGGTATATTATATAGTGATTTTTTGTTAAAATATATTGTGGTTATGCACAATGATGATTTACACCTGGTGATCGCATAGGTTGAATTGTCATAAGGCTGCAATGAGAAGTCTTAGAACAGCAAGGAACCAAGCTAGATATGAACACGAAAGACTAGTGTACGAAGGGTGGATATTATACGACATGGGTTTTCATGAGGAAGCAATCAGTAAAGCTGAAGAGTCAATCTCAGTTCAGAGATCCTTTGAAGCCTATTTCCTAAAAGCATATGTTTTATCTGAAATGAATCATGATACCGAGTCATGTATGTATGTCATTGATCTGTTAGAGCAAGCTCTGAGGTGCCCTTCTGATGGCCTTAGAAAAGGCCAGGTGAAGAATGATTCCTTTCTATACATATTACTTTCATACCCACAAATAAATGAATAAATAACATAAAAGTTATGGACTATAATTTGACAGCCTTAATGTGCATTGATCATTTTAATCATCATCATCATTACCCCAATGCCACAAAGGCTCCCACCTACGATGGAGTAAGGGGGTTGGATGTACGCAGCCTTACCTTTGTTTAGAAAAATTGCATGAATTGACTGCTACTTCATAACAAAGAAGCGCAAATGAGCCATATTGCTTTATTCTATCATATTCCCAAGCCAAAAAATAATTCATCTTTGGCTATTGTTTTGAATCGCGTTGATCATTTTAATGCTCTTGTTTTCTATTGGTGAACTTACGTGATGACCTTTGGTGCACAATGATCATTTGGTATTAGAGAGTGACCATATTTCTTCCATGAGCATTGTTTTAGTAATGTGAAATGAAACCCGCTTAAATGATTCATCTACCGATGAACTTAATTAAAAAATTGTGGGATTTTGCAGGCTCTTAGTAATCTTGCGAGCATTTATGTAGATATCGACAAGCTTGATAATGCGATTAATTGCTACATGAATGCCCTTGATATTAAGCACACAAGGGCCCATCAAGGGTTGGCACGCGTATACCATCTCAAGAATGAGACACAAGCTGCGTATGATGAGATGACTAAGTTGATTGAGAAGGCAAGGGATAACGCATCAGCCTATGAAAAACGGTCTGAATATTGTGATCGTGAAATGGCCAAAAGCGATCTTATCATGGCAACTAAGCTTGATCCCCTCCGTACATACCCCTATAGATACAGGGCAGCCGGTAAGTTTCAAAGTAACCTTGTGAGGTAATAATGTTAATATATCAAATGGATGCACATACTTGTATTTGTAAGTGTTTGTTAGGATATTTGCTAGATGACTTTTCTGTAGCTGGTCAAACAATAGAAAAAGTAGCATATGAACTACAAGCTGTTTTTAAATTTGAAATAGAACCAAACTAAAATTTTACCCTTACTATCAAATGCCGTTTTCTTCATTTCTTTTTCATCAGATCATGCTCCCATCCCAATTCAGCCAAAACAATTTGGGTCATTTTACTGATTGAGCTATATTTACCCATACAATGGTATCTAAGTTTTAAATATACAATTCTTCCACGTTTCCTGAGATTGGAATAACTTGTACTTTCTGAGACTGTAGTAACTTATTTGAGCATGTTCTTGAAGTGATACAAACGAAAGATAATGACAACTGTACCTTATTTTTTAGTACTATTTTTTTTTTCTTTTTCCAATAATACTAAAACAAAATTCATTCACAAGTATATATGTACGGTAACTGCTAGAACGATAATGGTCACTCTGCATTCAAAAAGTTACATTTTTGTTCACAAATATCTTTATAGTATCATGTTGGTCTTTTTCTATAACAAAAAAATCACCGATGTATTTCGTTAGCTCATTCAGCCAAATGACTGAAATGAGACAAAAATTTGGCAGTTTCGACTAAACTTTACCTTACTAAACAGATTCTTAAATTACAAAAACAACTCTTACGTATATATCTATTGAGATTGGAGTGAATGATTTTTGCAGTTCTGATGGATGACCACAAAGAAGCAGAAGCTATCGCGGAGCTGAGTAAAGCCATAGCTTTTAGGCCTGAAGCACAACTTCTCCAACTTCGAGCAGTGTTTTATGATACTGTAGGTGACCACTTGTCAGCTATCCGGGATTGCGAGGCAGTCTTATGTCTTGACCCCTCACACACAGACACAATGGAGCTTTACAAAAAAGCATGCCAACATTTCACTGAGCAGCAACAGAACACGTAGAGAAGAGACCAATGAGAGTCATGCACTCAAGTTTTGCTTTCTTCATGGTTTGGTGTTTAAGTAGGTCGGGTGTAGGAAGAGCCGATCGGCGGTCACTTCTGCTCTATCTTTTTTCAGGCTCACTGTTGTTGGCCATTTTACTTGAGTGTTGGGATTTTGTGTGTAGATTGAATCGATATTAGTTTTTACTTGCGGGTGAGAATACATACATAATATTGAAGGAGGTGTATTTTTTGCTTGTAAATATCTTATTTTTAATGTAAAAGTAAATTATATAGTGAAACAAATATAAGTGTATGAACCAATTAGTTAGAAAGAAACATGTATATATGTAGTAATATTTTGTACATGAGAATTCTAGCTTGGTATTTTGTACATGACAATTCCAGCTTGCCGTTTTGTCATTGATTTTTGTTGCCGTTAATGGCCTCATGGCTTAGCTTGCCCCAAGAATTTATTGATAAAATTGAAGGGGTGTGATGACATTCTACACAGATAAAAAAAGGCTTTACTACATCCAGATAATCCACTCATTCACTTTCCAGACACCAGATTCCTGTTATGTTATGTACGAAAACTTTGACCAATTTGTAAATTTAGTACTTTCGTTTGAACATGCTGAAAACTTTAACATTAAAAAGAGTAAAAGGTAAATCATTTGCCCCAATAATTTGTTCACCTTTTACTCTTCTTAATGTTAACTACAAACATGCTGAAGTGATACGTAAATGTTATTTACGTACATGCTGAAGTGATACAAATGAAAGTATGTAAATATTACCACTCATTTGAACATGCTAAAAACTTTAACATTAAGAAGAGTAAAAGGTAAATCATTTGCCCCAAGAATTTGTTCACATTTTACTCTTCTTAATGTTAATTACGAAAAGTATGCAAATATTACCACTCATTCACTTTCCACGCATTGACTAGTTTCCTGTTATGTACGAAAACTTTGATCAACCGACAAATACTCCCTCCGGTCCCAAATGAAATTTACATTTTCCTTTCTGGGTAGGTCCAAAATAAACTTCACACTTATTTGGCAAATTATCTACATCAAAGTGCAAAACAGTGTCAAACAGTGACAAACAGTGCCAAACAGTGTCAAACAGTGACAAACAGTGCCAAACAGTGTCAAACAATGTCACAACAGTGTACTCTACAGTAAAATCAAATTTATTTCCTTAATTTATGTGAAGTCAAAGTGTGAATTTCATTTGGGACCGGATGAAGTAATTAATTAAAACTTTACTAAATTATGTTCTATGTACAAAACGGTGCGACTTTGTGACTATTAATTAATAGAGACCATTCGCATAGTCCCACCCCCATCCGGAAATATTTCGAAGTAAATAAGCCGGAGTTAATATAATTCTTAATTCACTAACCTTGATAAATAATACTCCATATTAAAAAGGGGATATTTTGCTTCAAAAGGGGGGTATTGGTTCTTTGAATACGGATCATGTTGGGCTGCTGTGCAGACTCATCGGATCTAGCCTGTTAGTGGAAAGCCCATACCATTTGAAAGCAACAGCTCTATATATCCGAACATGGTCCGGTCCCTTCATCGTCTGGCGTCCTCCCGCTTCTTCCCCATTTCGAAATAACCTACTGTCCTGCTCTCCGCTCCCCATCACGTCCTCAATAAGCTATCCACACTTTCAAACGGCTATTCAGATATAATCTCTTCGCTGTTCAGTTGAAATCAATCTACTGATTCCGTCCATCAAAGGAAGTTGGGGAAGAACCAGCGAGAAAACCCTAATTAGTTGGCTTGGTGTAGACGATCGGCCTTGAAGTGTGGAGTTTGAGGCACTGTTCTTCCTCACGTGAGTGCATGGATCCATTGATAATTTGAAAAAGTAGTCTCTTATCGTCTAGCACTATGTTTTTGTTTTTGTTTTATTTGGCATACTGGCAAACCTTTTTTCTGGACAAATCTTGCTCTGTTCATATATTAACTAGTGAAGCTTGGAGCATGGCTTAAGCTCATCTATTTAGTTTTTGTTTTCGGTCTTTCAGAGTTTATGCCAATGACTTGATATTGTTGTCAACTCTGGCTGTCCGCTCTATTACATATGCCTCAAAGTTAAAGTATGAAAAACTTATGTAACTAAACTTTTTGTTGATTGTCCCGTTGTTATTTCCTGTTTTGAGTTTAACCACTTGTCAATTGTCATAGACGAGTTTATCCCTAAACTGCAGATTTGATGACTTGAGGACTTATTAATGTACTGGACAATGCTGTTGTCTGTTGATGATAAATTGATTTCTTAGTAACTTCTTTAGTGACTTTTGGCAGAGACGAATGGCTATGGAGATCACCAACTTTCTAATATCTGCTCAGTCTGCTGATTCAAAGACCCGGACTGATGCAGAAGCAACTCTTTCTCAGTTCAAAGAGCAGAACCTATCATCATTTCTTCTGTCACTGGCAGTTGAACTATCCAATGATGGAAAACCTACTGAATCTCGCAGACTGGCTGGTCTTATTCTTAAGAACTCTTTGGATGCAAAAGAAGCTTCCAGGAAAGAAATCCTTGTTCAGAAGTGGACCGCGATTGATATCTCACTTAAGTCCCAAATAAAAAGTTTTCTTCTAAATACACTCACCTCTTCCGTACGTGATGCCAGTCATACTTCTTCCCAAGTCATTGCTAAGATTGCTTCAATTGAAATCCCACGGAAAGAGTGGCCTGAACTTATTGGATTGTTACTTGCAAATATGACTCAGCCAGGCAGCTCTGCATCTCTTAAGCAGGCTACTTTGGAAACACTTGGCTATGTTTGTGAGGAGATATCACACCATGATCTTGCCCAAGAGGAAGTCAATGCTGTGTTGACTGCTGTGGTGTCAGGCATGACTGTTGGAGAACAGAGTCCTGAAATCCGTCTTGTTGCAACTAGGGCTTTATACAACGCACTTGTTTTTGCCCAAACCAACTTCCAGAATAAGATGGAACGTGATTACATCATTAAGGTGGTTTGCGAGGCAACCACAGCTAAGGAGGTGGAGATTAGACAGGCTGCTTTTGAGTGTCTTGTTTCTATTGCATCAACATACTATGAGGTTCTTGAGCCTTATATGCAGATAATAATCGATCTATCTTCAAAGGCAGTCAAAGAAGATGTGGAGGCAGTTGCTCTTCAAGCTATAGAATTGTGGAGCTCTATATGCGATGAAGAGATAGAGCTTCAGGACTATGAAGAAGACTCTGAGAGCGGGGAATCTGGGGCTCAACACTCCCGTTTCATTGAGAAATCTCTTCCCTTTTTAGTTCCCATGTTGCTTGAAACTTTATTGAAGCAAGATGAAGATCAGGATCATGATGATGATATCTGGAATTTGGCCATGGCTGGTGGCACATGTCTCGGTCTTGTATCCAGAACTGTTGGAGATGCGGTTGTTCCCCTTGTGATGCCATTTGTTGAGACCAACATACTAAAGCCAGAGTGGAGGTCACGTGAAGCTGCAACTTATGCATTTGGTTCAATTCTTGACGGCCCAAGCATCGAGAAGCTCTCTCCCATGGTTGCCGCTGGTTTTGATTTTCTGCTCAATGCCATGAAAGATGCAAACAGCCACGTGAGAGATACCACTGCTTGGACTCTCAGCCGTATTTTTGAGTTATTACACAAACCAGCATCTGGATATTCTGTGCTATCACCTAACAACCTCCAGAGGGTTGCAGGGGTGTTGCTGGAAAGTATTAAGGATGCACCTCATGTTGCTGAAAAGGTTTGTGGGGCCATCTATTTTCTCGCTCAGGGGTATGAGGATGCGGGCCCAGCTTCCTCACTGCTGACTCAGTATGTTCCTGATTTCGTAGGTGCCCTTGTTACTGCCGCTGACCGTGTGGATGCAAACGATACGAAACTTCGTTCCTCTGCATATGAAACCCTGAATGAAATCGTAAGGTGTGCCAACCTTTCAGAAACAGCTTCTATCATTGTTCAGCTTTGCCCTGTGATCATGAACAAACTGGATAATACCATTAACCTTCAGATTCTATCCTCAGATGACAGAGGAAAGCAGGCAGACTTACAAGCCTCACTCTGTGGTGTTCTCCAGGTCATCATCCAGAGGCTTAGCAGCACTGAAGAGACGAAATCTTTGATTCTCCAAGCTGCTGATCAGATTATGATTTTATTCCTTAAGATATTCACCTGTCGTAGCTCAGTTGTTCACGAAGAAGCCATGCTCGCTATTGGTTCATTGGCTTATGCGACTGGCCCGGGGTTTGAGAAGTACATGCATGAGCTCTACAAGTACCTGGAGATGGGACTCCAGAATTTTGAGGAATACCAAGTGTGTGCCATCACGGTGGGAGTAGTTGGGGACATTTGTCGTGCTTTGGATGAAAAGATCTTACCATTCTGTGACGGCATCATGTCACTTCTACTTAAAGATCTGTCTAGTGGGGAGCTGAACCGTTCGGTGAAGCCTCCAATATTCTCATGCTTTGGGGATATTGCCCTGGCCATAGGGGAAAATTTTGAGAAGTATGTGGAGTTTGCTTTGCCCATGATGAAGAGTGCAGCCGAGGTGTGCGCGAATCTGGATTATGAGGATGAGGAGATGGCTGATTATGGGAACCAGTTGAGGCGTAGTATTTTCGAGGCGTATTCAGGCATACTGCAGGGGTTTAAGAATTCCAAGCCGGATTTGATGCTGCCCCATGCACCTCATTTGCTCCAGTTCCTCGAACTAGTTGCCCAAGACCGAAATAGGTACTCACACTGCCTTCTCCCACTTGTGTATTATTTTTTATATATCTGTTTTTTATTATTTGCCTTAAATATGTTTCTAATCGTGCAACTATAGTGCTATTTGTTTCTGTTCTGTTTTTCCTCGTCTTTTGATTTTTATAGAATTTAGTACTCCATATTATTTACTTCATGAAAATGTGAATGATTAGTCTCCAAAATGTTATAAACTGTTAACATTGATACTTGATAATCTGTAGTGGAGATTTTTCGAGAGTTAGATACTGACAAAAAGAAAGTAGCATGTTATGCTGAACTGAAAACAAAAAGAGCAGGAGTTTAAACCAAAAGACGCCACCTTTAGACGGGCTAAAATCAAATTTAATATTATTGGTTGTTTTACAGATATGAGAGTGTTACGAAAGCTGCAGTTGCTGTGTTGGGTGATTTGGTAGATTCGTTGGGTACAAATGTGAAGGCACTGTTGAGTGATCGGGTGTTTTGCAATGCGTTTTTGGGGGAATGTCTTCAGTCAGATGATGAACAGCTCAAGGAGACCGCCACATGGACCCAAGGGATGATTGGGCGGACCTTCTCTATTTGTGGGTAAAATGGTAAATGAATGCTGCTCTTTCTCTCTACCAAGTTTTGCTTCCAGTAATGTTGGATGGGTTTGATGCATCCCAGAAACTGGGAGAGTTTCTAAGGCTACAGTGTCGTATGTTGGTGTATGGAAAGGTGTCTATTTTTTCCTTTTCCTTTTTGTGAAGTTCTAAAAGGCCAGGCCACCTATTTCTCTCAGTAACCTGACCAATTTACTATAGTGGCATTTGATGAGATGCTCTCATTAGTTATTTATTTAATCAAAATCAGCTTCAGCTACTATTATCTCCTTATTTTTTGTCTTTGTTTTGATATTTTACATTTATTAGCGTTGTGCATTCGTGATAAACTCTCTTTATAGATTAACCGTAGTCCGTAAAGCGTGTACAAAAGGGAATAAGCAACAATGTTATGCGGCTATGAGGAAGAATACCTCAAGGAGTAAAACTCTTCCATTTTCTAAAAATAGGATCAAATAATTTAAACTTCCAAAAATAGGATTTTTTAAGGAAAGTTTTACGGTACTCACTTTGTGTAATGTTTCGGTGCACTTCACAATTGGCCAGATTTGAACGGTCACTTATTCCACCTCAGTAGGCTTAAAAGTAGGCTTAAAATTGCAAATTAGTCCTTGTTTCTTTCAGGTAAATTTCTGAAGTGCACGAACTCCTATCTAACCTTTTCCGACTATGGTTTTGCAAAAGCGGGGAAACAACAACATCTCAGTTTATCTTCCATCCTAAAAGGTTTGTAGGAACTTGATCGTAGGTATATTTTATCTTACAAGGATTTGAAGGTGAAACCGATAATTTGATTTTCGCTTTTGCCCTTGTGTGAATTTCTGATTTTTCTTTTATTTTGTTAGAGATAGGGATGGACTCAACTGAGCCGGCCCGGGCCGGAACCGGCCCAGCCCGCTACTGTGCGGGCCCGGACCGGACCGGGACCGGTTGGCCGGTTCCGGGCTTTTAGCCCGTTTGGGCGGGTCAGGCGGGCTCGGGCTCGGGCCCAGTTTTGGGCGAACCGGCCCGGGCGGTTCGGGCCGGGCCTGGTTCATTTTTTTTTGTTTTTTCAAATTTTTTTCTTTTCCTAGGGTAGGGCTGGGTGTTTTGGGGAGGTTTGGGGGTGGGGGTGAGGGGGGGGGGGTCGGGGGATAACAAGAAAGCAAAAAAAAAATTCGACATTGAACGGGGCCCGGCCCGGCCCGGTTAGGCCTGGACCCGGTATCAACCCGGACTGGTTCCGGGCCCAAGGTTTTGCAAAAAAAGCCCGCCCCGGGCCCGGCCCGGAATCGGAACCGGATCGGCCCGGGTCCATCCCTAGTCATCAAGGCATGCTTAGTTTATGAATTAAGAATGCAGTATTACGTGTATATCTATTGAGATGTGAAGGACATTCTGACTTCATCGCCTTTCTGTGTGATCTAATAGAAGAAAACTTGTTCTTGACTTTACAATTGTACATAATAAGAAATTAAGAATTTCAAGGATTGGGTGAGAGATCATTGGGTTGATAATGACTATAGAGACACCAAATCTTGATATTGTCTCCACGATTGAGGCTATTTCGAACCAAGCTAGAGATAAAGCTCTCTGAGTCTCTCTTATTTGTAAGGATGTCCATCGTGCTTGTTCTCCCACTTTGTTGGACAAAAAGCCACCTCAAGTGGGCTAAGCATAAATGATTTGGAAAACACTTGATTTGGAAGATAGTGATGATAAGGTTGTTGATGACAAAAGCATAGAGGAGTGGCTGCTCCTTGACAAACACTATAATGATGATAAGGTTGTTGATGTTTTTACACCAATAAGGACTATCGGGTCAAAGATACTCATGAAAATAACAGTCACTCTGCATTCAAAAAGTTACATTTAGACTTGAATGTTAGTAATATGAAGCACCCACAACCATTACAGATCTTTATGATAAATAACTAGTTGTTCATGTAACTCTTTTAACTTGTAGTGGTCTATTTTTGTTGTTTTACTCTAGTAAAAGGTAAGACCATTTAAATATTACTCCCTCCGTCCCTAAAAGGATTTTCAAGTTTGACCGGCACGTAGAATAATAAAGTAAAAACTGTGTGGTAGAGATTTGTGTAGAGGAGAGAGAAATAACATGAACCACAAATCGATTAACTAAAAGGGAAAGTGGTAAAGTTTTTGGGACAACCAAAAAAGGAAAGTTGACAAAGTTATAAAGGACGGAGGCAGTACTAGCTAGTAGTGGAGTTGTTGCAGGTATACTTGTTAATTTATAGATTTGAAAAATACAATCAAGAACAAGATAATTAAAGTAGTACACTAGTACTACCACCGTTCTTAATAATATTATTTTATGAAAAAAATATTGTTAAACTTATCTCATTATAAATTTTCATAATCTAATTTTTTTATTTTTTTTACTAATACAAAATCATTTATATTAATGGTCAAAGTTGTGTCTCGGCAAGTGTGAAATGTTGACCGTTACATTTATTTAAGAACGGAGGAAGTACATCATTTTACTATATTTTACATTGTTAGCTTTTTTGAATAGAAAATTAATTGGAGCAACGTGCCTTATGAAACTAAATATGAATAGGTATAAAACAAACAAGGGAGTACTTAAAAATAGCAATTGAATCTCCAATAGACTTCATAAATACTTGAATATACTCGTGTCATTATTGTTGCTGATTTATATGAGATGTGAAATACCATTTTTTAAAAACACTAAATAGTAAATACCTACCGATCACAAAACTTTAGTGTTAAAAACAAAATTCAAGTAAAAACTCATGGTATGGTAATTGGTAAACAATCATCTTTAAAATCAGCACATGCTACGTATAATTTTGACATTTATGATTTTACTACTATAGTGCCTATACATTTCTTTGGGTTCCTCTGGTAAATGGTAAAAACGACTCTTTTGTCAATACTTCAAGTCTTCTAACTGCCAAGTCTTTCAGCTGCAAAAGCAGTTGTTTCATGTATCATGCTACAGTATTTCTCCATTGTTCCTTTGTTGGAATGGAATTTGACCATGCACTGTACGGTTGCAGAAAACATGTTGAAATTCAGCATCTTAAACAAATACTCCCTCCGTCCCTTAAAATTTTGTCATCTTTCCTTTTTGGGACGTCCCAAAAAACTTTACCACTTTCCTATTTAATCAATTATTTTGTGGTTTCTGTTATTTCTCTCTCCTCTGCACAAATCTCAACCACACAGTTTTTACTTTATTATTCTCCGTGCCGGTCAACTTTGACAAAGTTTTAAGGGACGGAGGTAGTATAAGATAGAAAACATGGCAGGATATGCAATAAAGTCATTCACTCATGGAGATGCAACAACAATAGGGAAGATGCTACAACAACAAGGGTACAAAGTGTTGTTTTAAGAAGCTCCTTATCAACGTGTTGGATTGGTTCCTGTAAGGAAAACAAGGGAGATCAGTAGGATAGGTGTAAGGACTGGCTTCTTATCATTTTCTCTTAGCAGTGAGCACCCTAACATGAACAAAATGTAATTTGAAAGAGTTACATGTAAAATAAATAAATAAATAAATAAATAAGTTTCTGCAAAAAGCACTTAACGGTAACAAACCTTGTATTTCCTATACAATAAGTGTTTAGTTAAAATGCACATGTGTTTAATTCTATATGTATCTTATGCACTTGTTCCCCCAACCAAACAAGAGTTTAAGCTACGGGAATGATACTAAACTTCCAAATTGATTATATACGGACAATGGAGTAACAGTTATTAGTATCTTTACATGTATCTGATCATAATCTAAAAGATGAACACATTCCCTTTGTCCCAATCTCATTACTTCCATCACATATAGTCAAGCGGGTTTATAAGTGAAAGAATATGGAAGTAAATCATCACAGATCGGTCGTATCTACAAATAACTATGATGAACAAAAAAACATATAACTAAGGTAGGTGAAACCGCAATTCTTGTACCTGAGAAGTTAAACATGTCAAATGAAGCCTAGCATTTGTCTTCTCCATAAGAAAAGTGAAATGACTCAAGCTGCAAAACAGGTTGATACACATGAAGCTTTTAGTCACTGGTGTTGGCCTATGCAAAAAAATATTTTATCAGTACAATACATCCTGACAAAAGTGGAACCTAGGAGAAACCATTACATTTACATGATGTAAAAAATCTAATCCCTCATGGAAGTGCTACTGTAAGCTACTATCTTTGTTCTGCTTCATTACAAAACATTAGTTTTGGATATTATGAATTTCACATAACTCATGGTCAAACAAAATAATTATTTTGGCAGTGGTTATTTTGTTCTCTATCTATTCCTGTATTCCATTATAAAAAGAACTGAAGTTATGGGTAGTATCAGTCACTGCAAAACCCAACTATTTTAGATCGGGTTTATAAGTGTTTACTTTTTAGTGATAAGAAATTAAGTTTTATTTTCTATCTAAAAATGGTTTTTAGTTTTTGATGCAACATGATTTCATTGCAATGAAGTGAGCTTTTTATGTAAAAAAAGATTAGCTCTTCTAGAGTGAGGCCTTTCTTGTTTGTATCAGGGATTACATTCAGACACCCAATCACTTATTTGAAAGAGATCAGCTACATTGTTTAGTCATCAAAAAATAAAAAAAAAAATCAATATTTAAGTCCATTGATTACAGGAAAAAACATTTTATAAACCAAAACGAAAAATAAGGCAACAAATTGAATAGACAACATGAACAATTAGCTCAATATGCAATGGATATTTTAGAAGTTAAGAAATTTTAAGGAGAGACAAAAATATTAAATAAAGGAAAAACTTACCGTGCAATCGACCTACAACATTTGCTATGTTCACTTTAGCAAGTCTTGCCTTCCAGTTGGGGAGTAATTCAAAACTATGAAATCTTTCTAATAAAACCGGTGAGCTTTCAGGCGGCAAATATTGGCTACCATATGCGTAGTACAAACAAAGGATGAAGATTTGGGGTTGGGGCTTCTGATATACTGCTTTAGGGAGTGAAATGAGAGGAGGAAACTGGAAGTGATATCCCGAGTATCTGTTTACTATTTTTGTGGCACTTTAACAAATATTGAATTGTATAAGGATCTGTTTGTAATTTTATTTTTCTAAATGATGTGGAATAGATACCGAATAAAGTTGTGACACGTCGCGAACACACTGAAACATCATCTCAAATAGAGGTGCCCAAGAGCTCCCCTTTTTTATTTGTAATGGGACAAAAGTATCATTATAGGGTTGGAGCTGTTGCCCTCAGGTTATCGGTTATCCAGGTCGTAGGACCTGCCC